AGGGACAGCGCCCAGGCCCAGAGTTCAGGCCCCATGACGGGACCCAAAAAAACAAAAAACAACAACAACAAAAAGAATTTGATCAAATATACATTAAATGCATGTGTATAAATATCACAATGAAATTCTTTTGTATAATGAATTTATGCAAATACATTTTTTTCTGAAAAACGACTGCAATTCCATATTTCTTTGCAAAGAAATAAACAGTTTTTTAAAAAATGTGTTCAGAAAGACATCCTTGAGCAGATGAAAAGCACCTTTGTCATTGAGAAGGACCTTATACTTCACAACAAGTAATATACCCCAGGTCAAGAGATACCAAATTTGCTTAAACAGATTTCAAACCCAGTCTGGTGTGGCCAATTCAGTCAGCATGGAGATAGTTTTCTCTTCCTAAAATTTTTAAAAATAATCTTTAAGGAATTGTACAGAGGAGTTGCCTTTAAAGTGTTTTGGATCACTAAATTGGTGGCATACTTGAAAGTTCCAGTATGATATTGTCTATAATCAATGATGAGATGTGGGTGTTGGGGGGATTTTGTTTTGACACTATATCCTAGGCTGGTCTTGAACTTGCTATGCAGCCCAGGCTAACTTTAAACTTACAAACAACTTGTTTTAGCTTCTCTATTGTTGGGAATCTGGATGTGTGCTACCATTCTTGGCTGAAATGTAGTTTTAATATTGTAGAAGGGGACTATGATTATACAAGCCTCCACCCTCTTCTACAAGAGGAAAATAGACAGTACAAGCCAGCTTACACTGCTAATGCTGCCAACACTGAAGAAGCCCAAGTCCCCTCCCTAGAATTGGTGAGTTTTTACTATATCCATCAGCAACTTTGGCTGGGAATTTTTCTCCTAAAATATAGCTTTAAAAAAAGATTGATATGGGCAATTCAAACACTGGAAGAGACACTGTGTGATGGAAAAACAGAGGCCAGTGTGCATTCGAGCGGTACCAAGTCATAAAATAAATAAAGGAATAAAATAGTTCCATGAGAGCCTTGGTCAGCAACGCATGGGAAGGAAGTTCCTAGACGATTCAGCTGTTCTGGAAACACTTTTTAGAGGGCATCAGTGCCCTTGATCATGTGCTGTGCCAGAGCAGGAAATTAATTTTCCAGTTGGACAACCAGCCTTTACTTTCTTTACTTTCTTGGGGAATCACAGCAGAGCCCAGTGAGAAAACATCTTATTCTGCTGTCTCAGCACTGAAGAGGGAAAGGTATTTTTAAATTAGTTGAATCCCCATGTATACCATTAGGAAACCACTGCTATTTCAGATTCCCGGGCTTCTAAAGATGTGTGTGTGTGTGTGTGTGTGTGTGTGTGTGTGTGTGTGTGTGTATTCCTGAAAACTTTATAAGATGGGTAAGTAGCCTTTTCTTTGGCCTTGTATCCTAGCTGGCATTACAAACTCTGGGGGAAAAGGGGGAATTCATCAAGAAGGAAATATTCCGACTCAAAAGCTTTCTGTGAAAATAAATTCAGGGACAGCCACTCATCCTGGGGTACCATTAGCTATGTCTAGCCTCTTGGCTTAGGTTTAATCTGAGGCATAGAGTGATGGATGAAGGTAGTGGCTTGTACTTACTAATTATCTCTTTTGCAGTGACTAATACTGAGGCCTCTTGATTTACAAGAACAAAAAAAGGGAAGGAGAGGGGAACAGCTGATTAGCCTTGGCCAGCACAGGCCCATACGGTGAACCCTGAGCTGTGTTCAAAGCAAGCAGGATTTATGCTCCCTTTCGGCTTCCCTGAACACTAAGTATTCTCAGGTGGTGATGGCCGTGAACTTGAGGGATGAATTGCAAGGAACATAGAAAATCATTTTTCAACCAAACCACAAACTTTGGATGTGCCATCTGTTCAAACAAGCAATTCAGGGGGAAAAAAAAATAACTGTTCTTGGTAATGTTGAAATGGAATTACGGAGCCACTCTATCAAAGCAAGCAGAAGAAAATCAATCTATATATAAATACTGATACTAGGTATACTAAATTATTTTGGGAGGTGGAGGGAGAAGAGAAGAATCCTACCAGATTCCTGAGTCTGTAATGGGAGTTGCTAACTAATGGGAGTTGGAGACTAGATGCAGGTTGGACCTCATTCCCAGAGGTCCTGATGGGGTGAGCCCCACAGAGTGCAGCTGACTGGGCAGCGTGAGCTTTCAGTAAACTTACCACTGTCTACAAGAAAGCTAGCCTCTTCACCCTCCTACTCATTGTCTGGTTAAGTATGCAACCTCCCTTTGACCTAGTACCCTCCCATGCTCCCTCCCTCCCTTCACTGCCATCAGGTAAACTTACCTGGTGGACTTAACTCCTCGCTTTGAGTTCATTAAGTACCCAATGTGATCACACTTTAAATCAAGACTTCAAAACTTAAAAGTCGAGTCAGGAAAGTGGGGGGGGGGGGGGGCGGGGGGGGGGAGGGAGGATTATGGTGAACAGCATGGTATGGACGACAGAGATTCTCAGTTGCCTGAGGAAGAGCTAGTCCAGCGTTGCCTTAGCAAGTAATTTGGATGCTGAACTCCTTTTTAATGTGAAATCTCCTGATTTTTAAATGCTGGCAATGGATTTGAAATGTAAAAAAAGAACATTGTGTGGTCCAAACAAAACACATCTGCAGGACAGATGTATCTCAAGGGATGGTGCATTCCAATTTCTGGTAATAAGAAAACTGCTAGTGTGAGTAGGTTGGCCCCAATTCTCTCTCCCCTTCCCCCACTCCCAAGAAGCAATACGATCCTTCTGTTACCCTGGCTCAGTCTCCCTGCCCTCCCTCCCTCTTGTGTGAGCTTTCCAGGTGAACCACAGAGGTGAGATGACCCCTACATGGTTCGCTTCCTCACTTCCTATGGACCTTTGATTAAAATTCACCTTTGCTAATCACATTATTTATGTCTGCACCTTCTCTGAGACATTCTACCTCCTCTTGCCCAGCTTATATTATTTCTTTGTACAATGCAAATTCTCAAAGGCAGGGAGATCTGAGTTCTATTTAATTATAACATCTCTCATGCCTAAAACAACAGCTGGCATGTGGAGTGTTCAAAAATAACTTTTGAGTAAAAGAACCACTTCTACTAAGAAAAGAATTGATTCAGCAAAACTGTAGGCATGGCTCAAGTGGTAGAATGCCAATGGTGAGCAAAAAAGCTGAGCAAACTCCAGTACTGGCACCATAAATAGGTAAATAAATTGTTGACAAAGAACAAAACTAGTGCAAATAACTGTTCTTCCATGAATTCTTCATGTTAATAAAATATCTTTTTAAGAAAGAGGGGGGAGGGGGGTTGAGGGAGGGAAAGTGGGAGAAAAACAAGAAAAGGGGAAACAATGTTTGACAGGAAATGTACTCATTACCTTATGTATGTAACTCTAACCCCTCTGTACATCACCTTGACAATAAAATTTCATAAAAGAAATTAAGCCCCCAAAAAAGAGTTTACCCAAATTCCTAAGCTGGGATGAAGTATAGGTTATGCATCCCTGGTTCACAATGCTCCTAAATCTAGAACGTTTTGAGCACTGATATGATGCCCAAGTAGACAATTTCATACCTGACTTCAAATGAGAGGTGGCAGTAAGATGAAATTATCTTCAGGCTGTGTGTAATAGATGTAGATGAGAGAAATGAATTTCACATTTAAATACGTATTCCATCTCTGAGAGATACCTCGAATATCTACAAATATCTATATATGTATGTATGTATATATATACATATACATATACATATATATATATATATGTACCTTAATTGTTCATTGGCAAAAAGAGACGAAAAGATGGAACCCCATAGATGCTTACAGACACAAATTCTATACACCAATAGGAAAAAATGGGCAGGAAAGGAGAGGCCTTAACATTAGAGGGAAGAATATCCACTTCTTCCCTGTCTCTCCCCATTCTATCACTTCACTCTCTCTATATACATATACATATACATACATGCATATATATATATGTATATACATACATACACATGTGTTTTCCAAAACATTAAAAGTCTGAAATCTTAAGCACTTCTGGGCCCATGTATTTCTCATAGGAGATTGTCTA